AAGCAAAATCTAATATAAAGGAGGCTGTTACTAACGCCAATAGTCCTGAAAAAACAAAATTGAAAATGTGTGGTGCCTGAAAAATGTCCTGGGTTTGGTAGCACCACAGTAACCAAGAAAGACCCTATATGGTACTTAGTATAATAGTATTTCTAAAATATAATATGAAATTAACGAATTACAAGTTTGCTTAAATCATATATTAAATAATTTAATAACGCAATTGATAGATTTATTGTCATTAAAAAAATTTTATATGATGTAATTATAGTAATATTTTTTGAGATTTTCAAAAAACAGTCGAATATTCGGTTCAAAATTTTCATTAATGATTAAATATCTAGAATTTGTGACCAAACGGTGTTCGAAACTCATCGATTCCAATCTCTATTTCGAATAATCAATTTGCTTAATTACTGATCTTTACTGTTAGGGGTTACCTACAATTGAAATTATATAATTAAAATCATTAATCCATCTATTATCGTATTAATAAAAAATGTGAATTTATCAATTACTAAAATTATAAATCTTTCCACAGTAAAAAATCAGAATCTCTCACTATTAAAATCGTGAGCCTATTTATTGTTGATATCAAGGACATAATTTTAAAAAGTGCTGTAAGTCATCTGTTCGATAGAATTAGTTAATAAAACCCATATTAGAAATAATATTTGGTCGTTATTGAAATGTAATAGTAAAGCTAAAGAAAAAATTTTGTTCCGTCGTCATATATTAAAAGCACGTTCTCAATAATTTAAAATACCATAGTACATAATAATTATTTTACCCAAATAATAAAATCCTGGAATTAATAACTTGCTACTAGTTTTATATTTTTTAGGTTTATTAAAGGTTCGTACAAATCCTTTGTTTTCAATGGATCATAAAGACAAAATGAATTAATTACGAGCACGAAGAATCAATATTCATCAAATTTAAGACAAACCTAAAATTTAGGCCTAATACGTAATTAAGACTTCAGCCTATGACGATATCATTTTCATGGGTTATATACAATGTTTCACAACATTTTACGTTGGTTATATAACGGAATCAAAATCCGAGTTTTTATCGTTATACTAAAATTCGTAATCCTTTCAAATGATAATATTACCAAATGAAGAAATATTTGATAATCTTAGAACTAATTATTTTCATGTCTTCTTGTAAACCGCCAATGGTGTAGAATTATTATACCAATATTATGGAATAAGCCTACAAATCGATTTGATGATAAAAAGCTTATAAGAATATATCTTTTAGCATTAAATTCTGAAGAGCGAGCTCTATTAACACCCTTTAAAATTAGTTATTTGTTTACCTCCACTTATAACTTAGGAATGATACAGTTGCTAATCAATGCACTCTTTTCCTAATAAAAAGGTTTTTTCACTACATGTTGCTACACATTTTTTCCTCTATCAAATTTTCGATCTAAGCCTTCTGATGATCCTGTATTATAGAAATTTAACTTTAATCGTAACCAATAAGGTATAAGATTTTGCGTACATCATTTCAAATTATGATGGGCAATCTAACAATTTATGTAAATGAGTATTATTTTTATTTCCCGCAACAGAGGGTAAATCACAATTCATCTGGGGGCCGAAGGACCCCATATGAACGGATCTACCGGGTTATTTCCCCATAGTAATAATAGCGGCAAAATAAGGATGTTATTCCTCGTTTTTATACGATGTCGTGACGGGCTTACGACTCAATCACTACTTTAATCAGTAAAAAATGTGTTCTAGAAATGCTTATTATTTTTTCGGCAACAAGTGTCGCCAGGCAAAATAATAAGAATTTCCGGAAACCCCGTTTTTTTACTGATTAAAGTAGTGATATAAGTTGCAGATCCAGTGGTCGTTAGAAGCAAAACTAGCTAGCAAAATTAGCTAGTAAATTAGCAAAATAGCTTATTAAAAAATTTATGTTTATCAATCTAAATTTTAATCTAGTTGTATGTTCTTCAATGAGTTCTTAATTTATCATTCCAGTAAGTTATCTAGTCATCAGTTAAGAACATGCATATAATTATTTGCTTATACATCAGTTTAAGAACAAAAGTAATCGTCACATGTTTAATACAAAAGTAGCAAATTTAGCATCTTAGCACAAACAATGTTGCTAGCTATTTTGCTAAAAAAATAAATACACTGGCTTTACTTTACCTATTATTATTTAATTATTATTTACGATTGGATCCACCAGGGCGACCCCGAAAGTGCGGGTCACAGAATAAGACGCCACAACCACTGCATAATTTCTTAGCAAAATGGTTGAATCGTCTAACTGCTGCATGTAGCTTTATTATTGTAAAAATTTCTTAACTCGATTTATGCAACAAAGCAATATACTACTGGTTATTGAGATGTGACAGTGGCAATGGTTCAAATCATGTGGCCTGCACTTCCCTGACAAACTCCATGCAGATGTAACTTGAAAGGCATAATTCTGAAGTTTAAAATCTGCCGATCAATATTGCATTTGTAAATACTTTTTTTTTAACTTATTATTAAAACGTAAAAATTGGATATAATGCTAAGTAATTATAAGTAATAATGAGCCTATCCCTATTTCGAACCATTCACTCCGTTGCACTCAGTTGCACTCAGTTGCACTCCATTTCCGGCATACATCATAGTAAATGACATACCACAAATAAGTGAATAAAATTAAATTGAAATCCCAAAATACAAATACCTAAGAAAAAAATTATAATTACCCTAATTATCTATTAGCGTAATAATCACCGGTAACATGTATTTGGACATGCCAATCTTTCATTAAGTCGAGGACGTACTGTATATTATTGAATATGGCTGTAAACCATAACAATAATCGTTTCGCTTCGTGAAATTCCATTCCTTGTATGTATTACATTACACAGTCAAATTTGGTAAAGATGATTAAGTCAAAAATTAATGTGATACGTACGTACGCACGTAGATAAAAACCTTATTCATTAAATCAGATTACGTTTATGTATTTAATACCTAAACCTTATATAAATACTCCTGGATCATAAACTTTGCCTGATTTATATCAATAGAAGTCATTTTTTACCATCCCTATCAAAAAATGTCTAACGTTAACATAATTGATATTGAAGTAAACGCTGACGAAACTGACATTGAAACCAAAGAAGTAACTACATTAAATGTCAGAGTTCCTGGACCCATTAAAATACTGTTTAAAATAAGACCTGCAGTTCTTTATGAAGTTACTGGATTATTGGAAAAACCCGAAGGCTTAGACAATAATGCTTGTTTTTTTGATGGTTTAGATGATGATAATATTATTATTAAAATCATTTTAAGAATTATGGTTTTAATAATATTTATATTTCTTTTACTTCCCATCGGAAGTATTTTGATAGCAATTCGGTTTTACTGTTTGTTTATCTATTTTCGATATAAAAGAATTATTTATCAATCAATTATTTCAGCAATTCTTGCTATTTTTACATTTTTTATTACTATTTCTCTCGAATCTTTTGACCAATTCAAATTAGCTTCTTATTTAATATATTTAGGCGCTGTTGTTCAATTCTTGATCTCTAAAGAACTTACTTACTTATTATTATCATTTTTGAGTTCTTATAGTTTATTAATATATGGAATAATGAATTTAAATATTGTTAATTTTAGAAGTTTACTAGAACAACATTATTTTTATTTAACTTTCTTAACAATAACTACATTTTTTTCTCAAATCCTTAATATAATATTTATTACTGCACCAGTCTATGTATTTATCACTCTCAATGTTATGCATAAGATTGACATTATTGATCAACTATCAAATTCTCCTAGGTTATTTAAACATTTTATTATTATTTTTTTATCACGTGGCCTTTCTGCCTCCGAAAGAAAAATGCTTGAAAATTATAATTTTGATTATATAGATCGGAAATTATATTTTTGGGTTGATGGAGATAAACCTAATTTTACAAAATATAATCATGTTTCATTCGATTTAGAATCTTTTATTTATTTAAAAAAGCTTAAGAAAGCATATGATGGAACAGAAAAAGGGTTAACAGACAAATTTCATGTAAAATATTTCAAATATCGTTATCATCTTTTTCTTGTAATGTTATTAATTGATTTTAACTAAACTATTTTAATAAAATTCAATAATACTTTCAAAATAAAAATAACATTATATAAAGAATTAATATCGGGGATGATAATGAAATTTGGATGCCAGCAGGTAGACGCATAAAAGTCAGGTTTAAGTGCAGTATGTGGCAAAGATCTTAAAGAATACAAGACTAGTTAGAATAGTAAATTTGCTTATTGTTGACATTACTAACATTTTAATGCTAAGGTTACCCGCTAATAAAATTATAAACCTACTCTGTCAAAATTATTAATCCACCTATTGATAAAAATATAAATTTATCTATTACTGAGATTATAGATCTATCCACCATTAAAAATCGTAAATCTCGCCTATTAAACTTGTGAACCTATCTATTGTCAATATCACGAACCCATTCACTATTGGTATTCGTAATATTTTTTGTGAAGCACTTGAATTTGATAGTGTTAGTAAATAATGCTCATATTAGAAACAAAATTTAGTAAATATTGAAATATAATAATAGACTAAAGAAATTTCTCTAATTTGAATTTGTCATATATTTTCCAATAATTTAAAACGTAAGAACATATTAAAAACTGTTTTGCCGCAAATAATAACTAGTAATAAAACGGCGGCGTTTTATAGGACTAGAGTCTTAGATATTAGTTTATTACTGTAGTTTTAAACTTCAACAAGAAAATAGCATAGTTAGTATAGTGTCACAGGTTAATCTGTGACTTTCGTCACAAACAACCTAGTCCAAACGGCGAGCACTTAATCGCTTTGCTAT